CGATGTTGATAAGCATCGAAGCGAATTTGCCAAATTAAATCTTGTTATGAGGAGCGAAATATTGAATATGCCTGTTCTAATGCCGGCCACTGACATGCGCGCCAATATTCGTACATTGTACGAATGTTTGCGCGCATGTGAAGGGCCGTCCAACATTCATTCGCAAACCTAGCGGCTGTGCAAATGGGTTCGGTACTCAATTTGCGAACCCGTTTGCGCTTCCTCCCACACTTGTTCACGAATGTCTCACGAATTTCTTTTTAATTCGTCAATAGAACATTGAAGAGAAAAAGAGTTTTGAATTCTTTCCCAGACATCATTAACAGCCATGCTGTTTTTATGGGATTTCTTTTGATGAAGATACGCTACACAGTATATATTATTATACTACACGAACTATGAAAATGGCGATACGTCCGTTACCTTCGCAATCGTCGGCGCAACTGGGCAAGCGAATGTGTGGGAGACTACGCGAAGGTTCGAGGTTCGCGCGCTTTGATGTCTGTTAAAAAACCGACACAGCTTGGAAAACCACGAATGCAGCGAAAACTTTGCATAATCATTCGCAAATGTCGTCCTACACTTGCGGGTTTGCGTATTCGTGCGCATGTGAGTGACCGGTGTAAGAATTCGCTCTTGTCTGAATTTTAGGTAGTTTTTTCTAGCAGTCTCGGTCTTTAAACTACTGTAAAAAAGTAGGAACTAGTTATCTTACATTAAAAAATTACATATACCTCCGTACAATACTAGCTGCAGTTGATACATTTTTACAGAGACGTCGATAGAATTTAACTAGGTAACATAATTTAACACATGCCAAAATATTCTCATTACTAAGCTCATTCACTTAAAACTATGTACAGAAAGATTCTTCAATAGATCTGTCTTGTTGCACGAAAGCCACTTGAGGGCTTGAGTGCCAGTAGCATAATATTGTTTGGATGTTCTCACAATACATTTTCAGTGTTGCCAGGCACATTAAAAAAGGGCAGGATAATAAAAAAACAAAAAACATTATTTTAATAAATATTATTTCAATAAATTTTAATACTATTTCAATTAATAGTATCTCAGTAAATTATGTCAGTAATATTATTCGTACCAATTTCGTTTTTGATTGCTTAAATAATGTTTAAATAATTGACGTGAGATATTTGACGCTTGATGCCAAATTAGCGAATCCCTTTTGTCTTTATTGATAGCTAGTGGTCTAAGGAGAAAAATTGAAAAACGTGAACAGGACGACATGGCTTACGTCAATCAAGAAATCAGAACGAGACAAGGGATCGCTAATGAATGAAATATTATAATAGAATTGTAAACAAATCGAAGTGTTGAATGAGTGATGTTTACGTAAACAACTGTACGCCTTCGTAGTTAGAAAATAATATTAGGTACGTGTAATAATATCGGTGACCCGATAGATAATGGTCACTCACAAAAATGCAGAGATAAATAATTTCGGTAGGCAGCGGCTTGGCTCTGCCCCTGGCATTACTGAAGTCCGCTTTAGTCGTCGTCGTGGCCTAAAGGATAAGACGTCCGTCCGGTGCATTCGTATCGAACGATGCACCGGTGTTCGAATCTCGCTGGCGGGTACCAATTTTTCTAATGAAATACGTACTCAACAAATGTTCACGATTGACTTCCACGGTGAAGGAATAACATCGTGTAATAAAAATCAAACCCGCAAAATTATAATTTGCGTAATCACTGGTGGTAGGACCTCTTGTGAGTCCGCACGGGTAGGTACCACCGCCCCGCCTATTTCTGCCGTGAAGCAGTCATGCGTTTCGGTTTGAAGGGTGGGGCAGCCGTTGTGACTATACTGAGACTTTAGAACCATATCTCAAGGCGTGTGGCGCATTTACGTTGTAGATGTCTATGGGCTCCAGTAACCACTTAACACCAGGTGGGCTGTGAGCTCGTCCACAAATCTAAGCAATAAAAAAAAACACGCCTGAAGCTAATAAAAGCGTATAAAAAAAACATTTTTATATAAGGGTAATGTAAATTGAGATCACCCTTTATTGTAAGTACTTTCATACAACCCCTAAGTACTTTAATAAACGTAACGAACGAGATTCGAAGTGATTTCTTCATCATCAGCCGTACCGTGATGCTATTTCTGCCGTGAAGCAGTAATGCGTTTCGGTTTGAAGGGTGGAGCAGCCGTTGTAACTATACTGAGATCTTAGAACTTATATTTCAAGGTGGGTGGCGCGTCTACGTTGTAGATGTCTATGGGCTCCAGTAACCACTTAACACCAGGTGGGCTGTGAGCTCGTCCACCCATCTAAGCAATAAAAAAAAAAACCGTACCGCGAAGCAGTCAAATGTTCTGTTCTGTTATCTACTTAACACAAATTGGACAGTAAGCTCATTTAATCATGTATCGTTTAAAAAAAAACATTTGTAGTAACTTCAAAATAGCCACAAGTCAGTCACTACGGCAACAGTGGTTTAATGCAAGTCAATTAGTCCACGAAAAATAATTAACATACACACAAATATGTACTTTAATAAGAACGAAATAATAGCGAATATGCGCAATGCAAAATCAAAAGCAACATTGTAAGATAACATTTAACAATTAGATAATAAAGTTTTTGTTGACGATTTACAAGGTGACTTTGATCTTGTGAATGGAACATCAGGAAGGTTTGAATAGATAACCCCGTCGACACAGTAATTACAAATTTAAGTGTGTGTATACATTATTTGTAACGCAATCGGCAAACGAGATAAAATATTATAATGTATTGGATTCGTTCGTACACGTGATCTGACAATGATTTTATTTGGGTTTTTTTTTGTGGTCTTGATCTTTGCTCTGTTGAAATCTGGAAGTTGTTAGTTTAGGTAATGTTAAGGAGAAATGAATTGCGCTTGCTCGTTTAAAAGATTTGCTTCTAGCATTGCTGATGCTTTTGAGCGAGGGACTAGTCAAGATCAGGTGGGCCATATGAAGTCGAAAGAGAAGCAATCTTGGAACCATAACGCGCCAGAAATGGGTACCCTTCTTCTTCTTCTTCCTACAGCTTTCCCGGTCTAGTGCCAAGGTCCGATTTCCTACTTAAACTCCTCAACTTAGCCCGGTCTTCAACATCCTTATGGGTTAGGTTATTCTAATCCATATCCGCCTTTGCCATATTCAACCAGTGTTTCTTGGGTTTACCGCAGGATCTTGGGTAAAGAAAATCATGCGAGCTCTAAATATGCAGTAGTAATAACGCAAATTAATATTGACACAATGTTTTTTATCACGAAAATCGTTTTCGTCAGCACGCTTATATTCATAAGCATCATTTAATACGAGACGTGACCCGTGAATCCGTCCGTGTTAAATTTTTATTTCAAATATAATTATAATTATTAAATACGTTGCTTTTTCGGAGCAAAGAGTTGCTTGTCTGTAATCTACCTATTGGATTTGTTTGGATCTGCAGCTATGCAAAATACGAAGCAGCGAACCAATGTTGTATTTATTACAGCAAATATAGCCAGTGCTGCTGCCCGCGCCATATCATTTTCCGAGATGAGAGTATGCGTTAATCCATGTATTAAAAGTGTCTTTACGCAAAATTTTATCTAGATACATTTAGCCGTTTTTACGTGATTTAGAAACAAACTTCTAAATAAACTAAATTTCATATTTATACATACAAACAGATGAAATCCTTTTTATCATCGTCAATTAATCATTCAATCTGTCCGTAGAAATAGCATAGATAATCCCTTACCCTGGTCTTGTCTATTAACCAAATGCCGCGTTTCAATCTCATGTTACAAGGTGGCGTTCGCGTTGTGTTATCCAGGAACCCCGTTTACCAGCCCTAGGTCACGGGGTCTGCGATCACCCACACATCGACGTCAATAATGAGGAACTGTTCCCGTGTACAATGCGACGTGGGAGTCGTTTATTTCCGTATCCGGCGTCACAAAACAAATTCGTTGGCTTCGTGATCATGAATATTAAAGCGTAGCTGTCCTGAAGCATTACCGTACTGCTTCTCAGGTGCTTCCCTCCGTGACCCTGTTACATACGCTTTATGCGTATTAACATAATCTCAGGATTGACTTGCCCCGGAAGCGTAATGTGACGCCAACGCTCTGACGTATCGGCGTTTCATCGGGACATTTTGAATGTTCAGTTTATCTACTGAATCGGTTGACGGAAATTTCAAGGAACCTTGGCGTTCGGGGTAAAGTCTCCATGTTACAAACTATAATAATGTTGACAGTGTGGGTCCAGCGCAATGCGAATTCAAGTGTGAATCCCATGATCTCACTCAATAGTTAGGCTGAAGTCGGAATAGCCCTTAAAGCTACTGGGAATTAGGTACGCGTAAAAGAGCAATGCGTGTTCATGTTGGACAGCTGGTCTGACGTAAACCTCGGAATGTAACAGTAGACAGTAGTTATCGAAAGTGGAATAGGTATAGTTGGGTTAAGTGAAATAAAATGCATCACCCATTAAAAAGAAGCGCACTATTTCGCGGCAGAAATTACTGGTTGTAGGACGTCTTGTGAGCTCGCACGGGTAGATATCATCAGCCTGCCTATTTCTGCCGTGAAGCAGTAACCGTCACCGTTCTCGTCGAACCTGTCGCTTGCGACGAAGGGCTCGGAGAGTAAATTAACCCAGTAACACAGACCACTGAGTTTCTCGCTGGATCTTCTCAGTGGGTCGCGTTTCCGATCTGGTGGTAGATTCTGCGAAGCACGCCTCTTACTAGAGTTCGTGTTAGCAACGTCGTCAGGTTTGAGCCCCGTGAGCTCACCTACTAGTTAAGGTTACGCTGAAATAGCCTCTCAAGGCTATCAGCTTAGGTAGGGAAAAAAAGGCGCTCTTATCCTTTAGGCCACGACGACTTTAATTTGACTTCCTTTAAAAACTTTTTAATTATTCTATTCTTCTTAACTGGACAGGTTGTTCTTTTGAGAAAATAAACGATCTATAAACTGAAGCTTAAAACTGTTTTCGTATATTGTTTCAGATATACAAAGGATTGGATATCGTGACGGCAAAAGCGAGTCCTCAAGAACGGGAGATGGCTCCTCATCATCTCTTGGACATACTGGAGCCTCACCAGTTTTTCACGGTAGTAGACTTCCGGAACAGAGCCTTAAAAATTGTATCCTTTAAAATGTTTTTTAATTTTTGTTTAATTCACGAACTAATTCGACCATAGCGCAACGACCTATTCTTAAATGAATATATATAACTTAATATATTTTATGTAGTTTAAAAACTAGAAAAACACATGGAGGTATAGATAAAAATATATTTGGTTTGTTTGTTTGCTCTTTGTATGAGTGCTTATTATATATGTAGAATAGGGGATCGCAGCACATAAAACAAAAGTTCCACTCTTCCAAAATCTTCTGTTAAAATAATAATTAATATTTATTACGTCCAGCTCATTTTTCAACCGTCATTGCCATCTTCCAATTCTCTGTCATTCTATCTGTCATTCTTTTCTCTCTTTCTTTCCGTTTTCTCTCACTCACATCTTAACGCTCCGTTCCACACTCTAGTCATACGTTCCGTTCTTACCAATCCTACATATATTTAAACGTATGTTTGTCAGTCTCTGGTAACCATAACACAGGGAATCCTAATTTCGGTCCAGATGATCGTGCTTGATTTGTTTCCAGTTATTTATTATCGTGGGATTGGTTCTTGATGCGTATCCAAATTATCCAGTTAATAGGATGTCTTGAAATTGGCGACGATTGCGTTCAGAGATTATGTTAAATAAATTGATAGAAATGTTTTAATAGGCGTCGTTACCTGGCTAAGTTCTGGTCTAAGTATGAGTATGAGAGTATAAGGTTAGCACCACCATCCTGTATGATACCACAAAGCAATGTTTCTTTTCTTCACTCATTTTCTTACTTTAATTGAGATTTTTATTTCATGTCTTAGACGATTATTAGATAGAACATGAAGGTATTCCACATCTTTAAAGTATTGTAAGATGTCATAGATTACGGACCTGCCATCAAGTGCGCCTTCGAAGAATATAAAAATGGTGCACTATGTTGGGACCTTTAATAAGTATACCTAAAAATTTAAATATCATGGAAATTAATCCCACTTTGGAAACTATATACACTTAAAAATGGCTCCATAATTTTTACTTTACAATTTAACGCTGATGACATTGCGGGGCACATTNTATTGTAAGATGTCATAGATTACGGACCTGCCATCAAGTGCGCCTTCGAAGAATATAAAAATGGTGCACTATGTTGGGACCTTTAATAAGTATACCTAAAAATTTAAATATCATGGAAATTAATCCCACTTTGGAAACTATATACACTTAAAAATGGCTCCATAATTTTTACTTTACAATTTAACGCTGATGACATTGCGGGGCACATTGAATTCTAAGGCACTGAATTTAAGATTTAATTTAGCTTTTAATTCTGGAGAGAAGTAACTGCAATCTCATTTGCATATAGCTGTGGGTCACTGAAAACACTAGTATGTCTGTCTAAGCAAATAATAACTGACTAAAAGTATACATTAATTTAATTTATTCTCTATCTAAATCTGCTTAAAGTACATATTCATTCAATTCACCTTCGCTTAACCTTAGCGCGGCACAGTCGTAAACGGCAATTGTTTAAACATTTGCGTATTACCGAATTTCACGAAATATAGACGCAATAAAGACAACAATGGTTCCTTAATTTTATATAAATTGTGACACACTGTGTAAACTTGGTAAGGAATTTTTAATATAATCGAACAAAACGACTGATGAGAGGCGCCAACTGTTGTTGCTAAGGAACTCAAGGCTTTCCATCTTGGCCTAGTCCGCTAAAATGTTATTAGTGTTACATACAATGTACTTATAGTCACACGGGAAAATGGCGGTAAAAATGAAAGAGGTGTGTATCAGGTTCTATTAGGTACCCCAAGCATCGGTCATCGTTCTCGTCGAACCCGTCGCTTGCGAAGAAGGGCTCGGCGAGTAAATTAACCCACAGACACAGCCCACTGAGTTTCTCACCGGATCTTCTCAGTGGGTCGCGTTTCCGATCCGGTGGTAGATTCTGCGAAGCGCTGCTCTTGCTAGGGCTAGTGTTAGCAACGTCGTCAGGTTTGCCCCGTGAGCACACTTACTAGTTAGAGTTACGCCTAAATAGCCTCTTAAGGCCACAAGCTTAGGTAGGGAAGAAAAAAGGTGTGTATCATCGAGTTTTGAATCAAGTTTTTATAAGATGTTGAAAATAAAGGTGGATGATGACGAATGTTGTGATGGCTATGGGCCAGACATCCCGCGAGATCCTTTGTCCATTTGGAATTTAAAGTACCCTATTTTCAAAAGGCACATAATATATAAACGTAAAATTTACTTGTTAAAAAGACCATCAAACACTGATCATGACTTTCTTAGGGGTAACTTTTCGTTTGGAGCATTGCCTAGACCCTGAATCAGGATCTAACCACTTACGATTATCAAAAAGAAGAATTTATTGCAAGTGACAATGCGGCTAAATATGCAAGAAGTAATTTTGTTACATTTTTATCGCTCTTCATCAGTTCCATTATATGAAAATAACGTAAGTGAAATACAATTTTTATTTTGTATTCGTTTTGTGACAAACATTTATATGCGCCGAAACGAGGTGCCAATATTACTGGAAACGTACAGAAAATTTCCATACAATAATATATTACAAGGATTTGTACTCAAGTTAAAATTGTGTGATTAGGAATGAATTTGCATTAATGATTTTTTTATGTTTAGTTTAGTAGTAGGTCGTTAGGTTTTTTTAGTTCGCAAAAGAGCGTTTGAGGGTAGCGATAACAAAGAGAAGAAGTATACCATGCGAGTGAAATTACTAGGTAATTCTGCCGGTCCGATTGTTAGTGCTTAGGACTTGTACACATGCAAACCTCTCTTGAAAATGTCGTTAGCGAGATTCAGACAGCAATCAAATATCTTATGTTCTATACTAGCTATAGCCCCAAAATTGAGTGGCCATTGTCGGTCATGGTCATTGGAGCTACTATGGGCACAACGAAGCATCTAAACACCATCACACGATCACACGAGTCGCGCGATGTATCCGTAAATACTCATTGTGAGGCGTATTGCGAACGCTCAATGGCTCTTGTAAAGTTCAATTGAAATATCATATCTCCGGGGTGTGAGCTCAGTCGACGTATAGTGAAAGAAAACCTCCTTAATATATAAATCTACAGTGGTTTTTACGGATGTTCCGTTATAACTACTGAACCATGCATCCGATTGACTTGCAACTTGGTATCCATGTAGAAAATACATGTACTTAATAGATAGGCTAATATTTGTATGAGTGTCGAAATAAACCGTAATAATAATGACAATAAATAATAATGTCAATTTTAAATGCCCAGCGAAACGGGCGAGTCGGGTAATAAAATTTATCAATTTTGCGGGTAAGATTTTCTTAATTTATTTGGAAATTCGTACAGTAACACATGTTAAGTGGGTTTTTATTAAAAAAATACGTGTACCTTAAGTAGGACATGAACATCGGCATATTCGATTCAATTGAATCCAGTATGGAAGGGTGCTACGAAATCAGGTGAAACAGTAAAGCGTACTACATATCTTTTTCGAAATGCCTCTTCTGGATTTTGCTTTGCCCACTGAATGGCCCATATATATTTAGACAATATACTCACGATCCTAGCAACATATCTTCTTCTTCTTCTTATCAGCCCACTGTTAGACATAGGCCTCCCCCAAGCCTCGCCACATGACACAGCCTATAAATAGAATAGAACTTCCAATTAATAGAACCTAAAAGACATTTCTCCACGAAACATTATCGTAACACTTGATACGCGTCGGTCGCCGCGGCGCTCGTACCCAATATTTGACCGCTTTTCGTTAATTGAATAAACCGTATGACGTTCTATACGTACGTGTATTTGAAAGGCTTGCTTTTTTAGGCCGACAGATAATCCTCTTAAGAACTCGAGGAAAGTACAAGAACGCGACGTTAGGACGATAAAGTTTTGGAAGTAGGTATGGTTTATGTCTGTGCTGCCTTCGATTCTGCAAAAATATGGTTATTGCTATCAAGTAGGTACTGTAGGTAGGTATTACTGGTGGTAGGACCTCTTGTAAGTCCGAACGGGTAGGTACCACCGCCTATTTCTGTCGTGAACCAATAATGCGTTTCGGCTTGAAGGGTAGGGCATCCGTTGTAACTATACTGAGGTATTATTTGTATGTGGTATGTATGGTTGTATGTATGTGGTTTAAGAAAAAGATGTGACACTTAAATATTAATACATTTACGTTGTAGATGTCTATGGGCTCCAGTAACTACTTAACACCAGGTGGGCTGTAAGCTTGTCCACCCATATAGCAAAAAAAAAGTACTATAAAATAAACGGAGTGAGGAAATTTAATGGTATACTGTGAAAAACCATTTTACGCTTTTGTGCGCTTTAAAATGAATTATCACTAGGAACGTCGCCCGGCGAGGTTCTTATTACATTTAAAAAAATTGAATAATACAACACTTTCCAAGCACCAATTCAACACACGAAAATATTATTTAGGCCTATCGCTTCGAAAATGAGGCCAGACAAACAAATAGGCCACTTAAAAATGCTAGTTTGCCTTTAGTCAACTGGAAAATTATAATAAGCATAAAGTTTCTTGTTCTACATCACAGTCGATCAATTAAATTTTTAATTATTTGGGAAAGATTTTGATAAAGATCGATTTGCATAATTTTTTGTGTTAAGCACTTTTTCCCTTCAAATACATCAGGTTTTCTTTACTTGGTTTTGATCCTATGGAAGACATCTTATGAATTAGTCAAGCTCCCCTTTGTAGATGTTATGTCGATGTTCTTATAAATTGGTATGTTTTTGTTTTAATATTTTTGTGTGTGTGATAAGTAGAAGTGAAAAAAGAGAAGGAATTGTAAACATTTCATACTATTAGGAGGCAAACAGAAGAAAGAAATAAAATCCTTCGATTACTTTTATTTTAATTTCGTAATTATTATTTTAATAATAAGCCTTTATTCCTATTTTACTTACTAATTACTAATTTAATAAATTACTTAATAATACATTAAATTTAAATTCCATTTATAATCAAGTATTGAGTTCGGCGTTCGGTGTGGTTTTCAAAACAGTTTGTCTCTCGACAAAGGCCTCCTCTAATTCTCATCTAATTATTATTTACTTATTTGCAAATAAAATCGTTCGTTACGATCACCACATGTTAAAGTTTAAATTTTTTCCCATGCTCAGACACGATGATCAATTATTTTAAGGCCTGAAAGGCGTATAGTTTTTTTATTTTTTTTTATTACTTAGATGGGTGGACGGGCTCACAGCCCACCTGGTGTCAAATGGTTACAGGAGCTCATAGATATCTACAACGCAAATGCCACCACCCACCTTGAGATATAAGTTCTAAGGTCTCAAGTATAGTTACAACGGCTGCCCCACCCTTCAAAGCGAAACGCATTACTGCTTCACGGCAGAAATAGGCAGGGTTGTGAAACCTATCCGCGCGGATTCACAAGAGGTCCTACCACCAGTAAAAAAGTTAAAAAAGAAACAAATATAATCTACGTTTCTTTGAAAATCGACCGCTTCGTTGGCTAATAACTAATGCCCAGATTGCTAGACCACGGGATGAGAGTTCGATTCCCGACCGAAGTTAGAATCTTCGTGTATATTTTTTTTTAATTTTCCTTAATTACTAAACAGATCGACAGCTTAATCGACCAGAAGAAAATCCCAATAATAGTTGGAGGCACGATCTACTACATTGAATCCATCGTCTATCAAATCCTGGTTGAGAGTATGGACGACACAGATGCACTGCTGTGGGATAAAAGTCGTAGGAAGAGAGATTTAGATAATACACCTAATACAGCCGAAAAAATATCTAAGAAAACAAACGATGGTTGTGGTGGCGATGATAAAATGAAAGTGAAAGGAGAACATCCAAAAGAAGATGAAGAATTTATAAGAATAACGCTATCAACTGACAATGAAGTTAAAATTCTAGATGCTGAAGAGGAAACTTTGAAAAGACAGCTTCAGGAAGATGTGGATAACGAAGCTCGGTTCACAAACACCGAAATAAGTGAAAAACTGAGGCTCATAGATCCTGCGATGGCCAACAGACTGCACCCAAATAATCGGAGGAAGATTTTGAGGTAAGTGGTGTTTTTTGGGGTACTTTTCTTCTTTCCTGTGATGTGTGTATGTTTCAAGTTCACCTTTTTACGCTGGGGAATCCATTTACGGATACCCGGTCGAGGGGGGTAAGAGACCGGGTTATGTCGGACTCCGACGCCTCCAGAGAAGAACAGGGAGAAGAAGAAGACAGGGGTCCTCCTCTTCTCCCAATTTCAAGTTCACCTGAAAAATAGTTACTTTTAGCCAGTATGATTTACATGTCAGTTGCTTGTCAGTGTTAGTATAAATACTTTTAATTTTACTACTAAACGGCATTTTGAGAAAAAAATCCTTGAAAATGGAGTTCCATTTGAATTTTTGATCAGACCTCAGTAGCAGCAGAAAAGCTTGTTTTAGAGTGTTATTATTTACATAATGGAATTCAATTAAGTATATATAAGCCTACTCGCAGGTACTTTGTATATTCCTTTTTCCTCATCTTNCAGTGTTAGTATAAATACTTTTAATTTTACTACTAAACGGCATTTTGAGAAAAAAATCCTTGAAAATGGAGTTCCATTTGAATTTTTGATCAGACCTCAGTAGCAGCAGAAAAGCTTGTTTTAGAGTGTTATTATTTACATAATGGAATTCAATTAAGTATATATAAGCCTACTCGCAGGTACTTTGTATATTCCTTTTACCTCATCTTACTTCTCTCTTAGTTAACAAAATCCCTGAGTTATCAAATTATACATATCTTGTAAATTTCACGAAAAGTGTGGAGAATCGTGTAATTTATTTTTATGGTGCGTCACACAGTCGTGCGTACCGATAGAACGTACTTAAATAGAATAACTTTAACTAATGTGAATATTATTTTAGAATTTTGAAAGCCCTAAAATCGTGCGACATATACGTGTCTAAGTGTCTATATCATAGTTACTGTAAAACAACTTATTACGTTACAACAACAACACACATCTGACAAATTAACATGAAAATTCTGGATCGAAAATTATATTTGATCAGTTTGTTTCAGTGCACTCAATTATAATCGGAAATAGACTCCCGCCATCTACTTTCACTTTACTAAAATTAGTTTACCTTAGCTCAGAAAATAATAGGATTGTTTGGTAGTCAATAAGGTACATAATAAAATAGCCATAAATTTATCCGTACAATAAAGTATTACGCTTTGAATATATGAAGTCGGCACTTTATGAAGAATATGTTACACGATATTGACCACAACGACCTTTGACACTTCCTGTGCCCAATCAGCTACTGTGATGATCGGCGCCTGTGTTTCGTCACGACGTTATCGTACCGTTTCTGGAAGTTTCCGTAGTTGCTACAAGTCTTTTGGGAGATAATCATTATATATATATATAGAAATGTGATGTGTAGCACATAAGGAAATTATTAGAGTATTTATTGTCATGTTTTTCTTGGCAGTAAATGTTGGGTTACGATTGTATCGTCTAAATAAATAAATGAGCGTTATTGTCCGTGAAAATGGCTTCATAAAATTAATAAGTTTGATATGGATAGAGGAAACTGCCAAAGAAAAAACATTTGAGTAAGATATTTAGAGATCTTTATTCAGCAGTGGGACATAGACTCGAACAGAATGAATGAAAAGTCTATGACTGGTAAGAACTTCTTAACATCCTATATCGAGTAGAAGCTTAGTTTGCAGTTTATTTTCTACTAACGTAGATGTAATTGTTAGGTATTATAGGTCATCATTTGAAGTCATCGTGACCTAAAAGATAAGACGCCCGGTGCATTCGTATCTAGCGATGCAACGGTGTTCGAATCTCGCAGGCAGGTACCAATATTTACTTAACAAATGTTCACGATTGATTTCCACGGTGAAGGAATAACATCGTACAATAATAATCAAACCCGCAAAATTATAATTTGCGTAATTACTAGTGGTAGAACGTCTTGTGAGTCCGCACGGGTAGGTATCACCACCCTGCCTATTTCTGCCGTGAAACAGTAATGAGTTTCGGTTTGAAGGTTTGGGTAGCCGTTATAAATATACTGAGACCTAAGAACTCATACCTCAAAGTGGGTGGTGGCATTTACGTTGTAGGTGTCTATGAGCTCCTGTAACCATTTGACACCAAGTGAGCTGTGAGCTCGTCCAACCATATAAGCAATAAAATCGTCCATCCAGCATTCGTTTTCAGACGGTTGACAACCCAGCGCAGAGTTTCCTTCCTGTTGCTCTCTATGTCCTTGTTCAAAGCCCTTAATGGACAATGGCTTAACTGTTCCGCTAAATTTGCCTACACATATGTGCCATAGACTCTTTAATAATAATAAAGTATTACTTATAAAATTCAGTAAATAAATGTTAAAAAAAATTATTACAACTTGGCACTTGGCACTTACAGCCATTTCATTGGGAGACCATTAAAATTGCTATTACTGAAACTTTAAAGTTTTGTAACTATACTGAGACCTTATAACTTATATCTCAAGATGGGTGGCGCATTTCCGTTGTAGATGTCTATGGATTCCACTAACCACTTAACACCAGGTGGTCGGTGAGCTCGTCCACCCCTCTAAGCAATAAAAAAATATCAGAATACCTATATCAATTTTGGGTCTACAGAGGGACTTCGGTCTTCTCTATGTTTTGTGCCGTATGTACCATGGAGAGGGCTGTCAGGCTGCTTATGTTGATGAAATCTACTTTTGACCCTGGCACCACCCGTCACCGGAGTAGAGCTCAACCATAATAATAAAGGACCACTACGTTCATGCACAAAGCGTTTCCAGATATTTTTTGCTAAGTACCATCCGACTTTGGAATGAACTTCCTCGCTGTTTCCTGTTTCCTTACATGTCCTTCTTTAAGCGAACTTTGAGGGGAATCGCAGGGGGGGGTGTAGCAGCGGCTTGGCTATGCCTCTGTCAATGCTGACTTCCATAAGCGACGGAACTTACCTTACCGTCAGATGGACTACCAAAAAATACTAAGAAATATGTCGGAGACGGTCATTAGTTTGGTAGCTAAACGAAACGCAGCACGTTTCCCGAGAGATGACAGCTAGCTATGGGTTGTTCGTTCAATTTTAGAGATTCAGATCAATACTGACATGTTGACAAATGATCCGGTTCGTGCGACCCGTTCAGTCGAATGATTGGTTCACTAAAGGATTCGGCACTCAATTGTCGTCTCAGTACGCAAACTAGCTCACGAACCAAAGAACCAAGCGGCTCGGTTGCGTTCCTTACAAATTAAATCAACCAATTATGTAGGTACATACAACCAAGCGGGTCGTATTTATTTATATACAATCAGGTAATAGAAAAAAAAAACATCACAAAAAAGTTGAAACTTGTATTTAAACGAGTCGATCTAATGAACGACTCATATTTTTTGAAGTGACCCTATCGTTCGCACGGATTTTGAGAGCCGGGTCGTTTGATTCGTTCGTTCGCACATATATAATGACAGCACGATTGTAGTATCGTCGGAACTCGGCTAACTTCGTGCTACGACAGAGTCTAGCCGGTGGAGGCGCGTAGACGCAATCGCACTTACCAACCAGCCTTCTTGAAGAGCGGTGCCTCCGTCCTAAGAACTGTCATTCGTTTTCGTTTGCTAACGTCAAGAGAAGATTTCTAAATGATTGGTGTACTCAATATTTCTCTTAGCTCGATCACCCTATTCGCCCCTACGATGTCTGACGATGGTTTTAATAATTGTGGCTTCCCCGACAAATAAATGGTCTATGAACCAATTAAAAAGCATGTAACTTGGAGATGTAAGAAAGTTTTATGTGAATGCGGTATACGACTTAACTCTTTGAAACTGAAATAATGATCCAATAAAACATTTATTTATCTATTTAAGTGGTTCTGGATGGTGAAACATCTTTGCGTGTCTGTATTTCTCTAAAATGCCTCGCATACCAATTGCATAGTGAACATTTCTGAATATACAATTTCGTGTAATTTTCCTTCAGGTCCTACAAGCATTTGCCCAGGTTTAGTTTCAAGTCGGAAATGCTCATTCTTTGTTTTTTAATAAATCCCTAAAACCCTAATATCACGTAATAATAACAATTCGACATTAAAACATCGAAAAATCCGACAAATTCAAATCATTTCCGTGCGGCGGAGTGTAAAATGCGCAGAAATCTATCTAATGCGTAATAAACTAGCCTCCTAATAGCTTAAGCCCGATAACAAAACTCATTCAAAACAAAGCACTTCTTCATAGATGCGCAGAAAATTCCGGTCTCCCACCCAGCAACAATCCAAACTCGCACGGTTTACATAAACATGAAAATCGAAGGCTATGACACGATGACATAAAACTCGCGAACCGGCCTCCAAGAGCTCCCGGTTTAATATAACAGCGTACTGAAAACGGGGAAGCGTATTGATGTCTGCGGATCATTTTAACTGGACGAGTCGACTTCCGCGGGTCTTTGACCGCCACCAAGGATTTTATAGATTGTTGGTGTGCGTGTATTGTGACCTTGGCTCTACTACCCAGAGCGGACTAGTGTAACCATGATAACGGAATTATAAAATATTTGTACTAGATTCATCGTTTTATTGTAGTTTTGAACTTGGAATACATTTTGTGTTTAAACAATTTCTTGTTTGCAAGGCTGACGTATTAAAGGTAATGTCAAACGCGATACCAGTTTTAGTACAAGCTGTAAATGGATATTGAATTTAATTTAATGACCTTAAATTAAATCGTTAGCTGAATGAGCAGACATCACGACATGAATTCCACTGTGTTACCTTTGTCCCCATCATCAGACAGATACGTCTGATTGCTTCGCCCCATTTAAATGCAAGGCGGCGGTATCAACCCGTTCGAGTCTCACCAAACGCCGTACACTGTGCTTAGTGCGAGTTTTTTAACGTTCTCGATAGCGTAAAAGTTAGCTCAAATTTGTATGGAGTTGGAACAGCGCCTTTAGCGGCAAACGTAGGCAAACGTTCCAACTCCATACAAACTCGATAGCGTAAAAGTTAGCTCAAATTTATATGGAGT